ACGTGTTACGATGACCACTTGGGAACAGCTGGACTCCGACGAAAATTCCAACTTTTCCCCGGTGTACAGGCTTTCGCAAGCATCAGAATATGTGAGGTTTGTTGAAGCGAATGGATGTTCCTGCATCTTCATAACAGTTGATGTAAAATCTTCATGACAGTCTTTCAAACATCTTCATATGTCTGTCAGCCGCGATTAAGATCAGAATTTATTTTACGGTGAGGCTAAGGGAGGATTCTGAGATTGGGTAGATCAAATAGAAATCCCCCCCCCACCCCGTTAGGCTATGGACCCAAAATGATTAGATAACAAGGTAATGCTAACCATTTTTGAGAAATGTATTCATGTCCTTCGGGAGATGCGCCTAAGAGACGGATATGTTGATTACAGTCCCAAACGAAGGCGTTAAATACCACCGTACATTTTGATTTGTACAATAGTTACGGTAGACAATGGTAATATTGTTGTTTTGTTATTTTCTTTGTAACCTTTGTTGGTTTCTGAGATAGTGTCTCTGATCGATATTGTGCAACGTTGACTGCACCAGCAAAGCCCGTATTTCTCTGCGTAAGTAGGTTTGCATTAACGACGTCTTTGCACGTTTTGTATCGTCCTCCTACTCATGTGCGGTTCCCAATAAACGAAAGTTTTGAATATATTTCCAGCATATTAATTTTATTTTAGGCTGTTGCTTTCTTTGAAGATCTCTTGTGTCACAAAGCCAAAACTGTCACTGTGTCCATGGGTGAAACTGAAGCAGACTACGGCTTGCATGTCTGGCCTTGCGCCGAGGTTTTGTCCAGCTTTATTTTGTCGAACGAAGACTTGTTTCGAGGCAAGCGTATAATAGAGGTATGGTTCTGTTTGTGCAGTATTTTGAAGCGTGGAGTCGACTCCCGTTGCGATGGTTAAGTTTGGATTTAGATCGGTTGTGGCGCCGCGGTTCCGTCCATCGTCGCCCTCAAATCAGGCGCCGTGCATGTCGACCTGTCTGATCGGGCCACCGACGATCGCCTGAAAAATTTAGCAATGCTGAATTGTACGTTGAATGGCGTAGCGGAGTCGGTGGATTTCGTGCCAATGACTTGGAGTCGGTTCGAGAAAACGCTGCTCGACCTGCCGCCGTACGACGTCGTTTTGGCGTCTGATTGCTTCTATGATCCTTCCGGTACAGCCGTGATCTAAGTATAAAATCTAACGGTCAGTTAATTTTTCTTTGCTCCTTACAGTATTCGAAGATGTGCTCGTGACGATGGCTTTTCTTTTGGATCGCAGTCCGCGGTGTTCGATTTACTTTTCATACCAGGAGCGGAGGTAAGGACAAGAAGATTGAATTTCACTTATATTTTAAGGTTAACAGAACCTGTGCCACAACGTTGCACAGATTCGTAATGTCTAACATACTTGAAACAGTTTCGAATCTGTGATAAAATCATATCCCTAGTCTAGTTTGGAGTTTTCCGCTTCTTCAATAATCGTCCCTTATCCCATTGCATCAAAGGCGGTGCCATTTGCGATAAAATCGTTCCACCTGGATCGAATAAAGATGTGCAGTTTACAGCCCGTTCACTGTCACATCAGTTATAACGAGAGTTTTCCACCTTTAAAGTAGCCGCTGTTTTTACAAAGAAGTTTTAAAGCTACCTAGTCACTGGTTTTGCTTAAAAGATTACAAATAGTTTATCGAAATAGAATTTTTCATTTAGCTATCTTAAACTCTTTAGTTCAGGTTCAGGGAGTCCGCAACCACCATGAAATCCACAGCAAGTTCCTCAACGATCCCGCATCACAAGGTTGTGAGCCATTTTTGAGTAGAGTGAAGCTTGCGAGTTAGTTGTCCTCTCATTTTTTGATGACGAGATCGTTGTCAGGGAACTTTCACAAGGAGCCAAGTATGACTCGAAAAGTCGGTAATTTATGTAATGAAATCTATATGAGGAATGATCCCAGAAAGAACATGAAAGCTATGGAATCGGTCGAAAGATTGAAAGAGCATCGAGTTTGGAACGAGAGACATGAGTTCGATTGCATACGTATACAAACAGATTATTCATGTTTCACAGGAAACCATGACGGAACTGTTTCTATAAGTTTCATTCTGCTGATTTATCTTGCTTTATATCCGTTCCACTAATCTCCCGCATAATAAAACAACGTTGAATTTTTAAAACCTTTCAACGTAATACCAAAACCCTTCAAAATGTCCCGGGGAAAGTCGCAAACCCGACATCAAAAATAGTGCATTCAAAAAATAATGGACACCTATACCAGGTTTTACATTTCTCGCAGGTGACTCGTTAGCTTGAGATGCCAGATTAATGCGGATCTTGTTCAAGATGAAAAAATGGTTGTGCATTCCCTGAATCTGAAGTAAATTATGTCATAATTAAAAGAAAATACTTTATTTATATAAACTATCGGTAACGCATCTCCTTGAAAATTTCTTCAGAAGAACACCTTAAAAGAACACCATTTTTGGAAGGTATGACGGACACTTGTTATCATCTTTCCATCTAGTTGAAAATCTTCCTTGGCGGCTGCCAGAAGTCAGGCTTTGTGTTCAGTATCCGCTTCGCCAGACGGCTATGGCTCTTTC